GGGGGGGCGGGCGGAAGACAATTTTATTTTCATTGCTGTCGAGCTGGTTCTGGGTCACAGTGATGCTCAAAAGGGTTTCTGAGGCTGTAACTGTAGGGAGAGGAGACTGCAGGAGACTGCACATCTTTCTCTAGCAGAGCTGATTTAAATTTCCAGAGATGCATTTAGGTTAACTTTGCAACCTGATACAGACTATACCACTAGAGCTTCCTATGCATCTTTTCAGTAAAAACAGGATACGAAGACAGACCAAGACTTCCTGAATCTGATGTACCTCTCTGGGTAAAATCTGGAGCTTCACGTTGTGGTCCCTAAACTCTTCATAAAATAAAGCTTCCATCCACTTTAATTGGAAAGCAAGGGATTATCTTCAGTGTAAGAACTGCTATGGATAGTATTCATACCCAAGCCAATTATAAATGAGCATTTTCTTCAGTGGACTGTTTTTTTCTATTATTCGGCTCCCTCTAATGGGGAAATCTCAGAACACTTAATTAATTGTGTTCATGGGAAACCTGTACATAGATCATGAAGCAGCGATCTGAAGCGAACAAAGGTTAAAATCAGAAAAGGTGTTTGTCAGAGTTGTGTCTTTTCTCCATAACTATCCAAATCTGTATATTGAGCAAATCAGTTAAGAAGCTGGACTATATGAGAAGAATGTAGCATCAGGATTGCAGAAGGACTCATCCACAACCTCATTTATACAGAAGACTTAAAGCAGCACTTACTGCAGAAAATCAAAGACTATAGCCTTCAATATGGGTTTTTATCTCAAAATCAAGAAAATGAAAATCCTCACCACTGGACCTATAGGCAATATTATGATAGGTGGAGAAAAGGGTGACACTGTCAAAGATTTCAATTTACTGAGACTCAGAATCAACATCTAGGTTAACAGCAGGTAAGAAAAGACATGTTAACCTGGGGAAATCTCCTATCAAAGACCTCACTTAAGTCCTAAAGAGCAAGTATGTCAGTTTAAAGATTGATGTGCACTGAATCCATTCAACTGCTTCCCATGTACTGGAAAATCCAACAACAGAAGAATTATGCCTTTGAGTTATAGTGTTAATGATTATCCCTCAGACTGCCAAAAGAAAAAAATTTGTCTTGAAGGAAGTGTACCCAGAGTGCTCCTTAGAGGCAAGGATGGTGAAACTTTTCCCCACTGACTGTGACTATATTTTCATGAGAAACCAGTCTGTGGAGACAGACATCATGTTGGGAAAGGTGGACGCTGAGCAAGAGAGAGGAATACCCTGAATGAGATGGACTGACACTGTAACTGCCACAATAGGCTTAAGGAGGTCAGAGATCATGAGGAGGCATAGGAGAGGGCAAGGTTCAGATCTGCTGTTCGACCTCATGGTAACAAGGGAACTCTGATGGCCTAGTGGTTAAGAAGCTGCACTGCAATCCCAAAGGCATGCAGTTTGAATCCATCTGTTACCCTATGGAAGAAGGATGGGCAATCTCTTCCCATGTGATTTACTGCCTCTGAAAATCCACTGGAAAGTCAGCCACGGGTTGGTTCTGACTCAATGGAAGACAACAACAACAAACAACAATAGGGAAAAACAAAGGCTCAAGGGAAGAGAGGAAGCCCCTCAATGAAATGAATTGACTCAATGAACATAACAACTGGCTTGAATATGGCAGTTTGTGAGGATGGCACAGGATAGGGCAGGGTTTCTGTCTGTTGTTCATAGGGTTGCTATGAGTTGTAGTCACCTGACAACAATTACTACAGGAAGAAAAGAGCATCCTAAACATTGTAATCATATATTCTGTATAAATGTAGCTTTCTTAAATTAATTTGATGGCTGGCTGTGAAAAGTTAGGTAAAATGTGAAAAATATTTTTCTTGAAATACTTATTTTTGTCTTAAAAACACAAAAAGAAATTTTAAAAATCCACAGACTTATAAATAAACAAACTTTAGGGGTGAATTATTAAAAATTTAGTAAGCAATGACATATTATCACAACATGTCCCATTATGCCAGATATGAAAAAGATAAATTTCAACATAAAATTATACACATACACAATGCAATGGATAGCTACTATTATCCAGAGTATAAGACTGAGTCTTTGTTGCTGTTAGGTGCTGTTGAAACGAGTATGACTTATAGCAACGCTATCAACAACAGATCTGAACCTTGTCCTATCCTGTGCCATCTTCACAGTCTCTGACTTGAGTCCATTGTTGTAGTCGGTGTGTCAGTCCATCTGGTTGAGGGTCTTCCTCTCTTTCACTAACCCTCACCTTTCCTAGATGGTCCCTCTCCAAGAGTCTCTCCTTGAAACATTCCCAAAGTATGTGAGATGAATCTTTATTGTTTTGCCTGCAAGAAGCACTCTGGCTATACCTACTGCAAGATTGTTTATTCTTTTAGCAGTCTATGGGATATTCAGTACTCTAACACCAGAGCTCAAAGGCATCAATTCTTCTGTCACCCTTATTCACTGTCCAACTCTCAGATGTATACCAAGTGACTGAAAAGACCATGGCCTAAATAAGGTGCACCTTATTCGTCAAACTGACATCATTGCTCTTCAATAATACATAGAATGCTGGTACAAATGGTATTAATTGCAGATCCAAGTTAAGACGAAGTTGTTGACAGTTTCATCTTTCCTCCAACTATCATGATGTTGCCTATCAGCTGAGGTAAAAATTTTTATTTTCTTGACATTTAGATACAATCCATATTGAAGGCTGTATTCTTTAATCTATTGTAGTAAGTGCTTCAAGTCCTTCTTACTTTCAGCAAGTAAAGTTGTGTAATCTTCATAATGTAGGTTACTGATGAGTTTTCCTGATTCAGAGTCCAGCTCAGCTTACAGTTTTAATATTGTGGTATCAGAAATCTTGAAAATGGGCTTTTCTATCCATTATGTTTGTCTCCACTGGGAGCATGGTCTCTAGCTACTTTAACTGCAGACATGTGTTCTTGCAAATCATCGACAGCTGTGGGATCAATTTAAGAGAGCGCTTTCTTCATTGTGAAAATCAGCCGTGGAGAGAACAGGTACAAAGACTGCGGCACTGCTGTGAACAGATTGTGGCAAAGTGTAACCAGAGGAACTCTGGAGTTGGAGCCACAGTTAAAGGTTTTGCTTGTGGGATGACTGAAGGAAAAGCTAACTTGTAACTGCTCTGCGATAAAGCTTGCTGGATAACTGAGGAAACCAGAGGTTTATTAGTTCTACTTAATTAAACCTAGACTTTCACTTGAAGACAGAGAAGCCATCTGAATTGTGGAATTGTGTCATCTGGCTTGGGACTAAACTTAGACTTGCACTGTGTGATATTCTTTGTCTCCTCCACTCTCCAACCTGTTTCCCTAATAAACCCCACAACTGTAAGTAAAGTCTTGAGTCAAGTGGCAATGAACATTAGATCCAAGAACTCATAGAAATAGGTGCAGGAGCATGTTGGGTGGCATCTCTGAGCATGCAGCTATTTGTTTAATACTATAGATATTATTGATGCGGACAGTTCCTCTTTATGAAGTAGGCAGAAGCCAGACTCAGACACGCCCCCACATTGCATCTGCTCCTTTTACAAATAGGTATGGAAAAAGGATACAACCCTGACACACACTTTCCCTAATTTTAAACCATGCAGTGTTCCCTAGCTCTGTGTACACAACAGCTTCTTGGTATAGATATAGGTTTTGCATAAGCACAATTAAGAGTTCTGGTATTCCCATTCTTCTCAATGTTAGCATAATTTTTTAAGATACACAGTCAAATGCCTTTGCATAATCAAAAAAGTACAGACAGACATTCTTCTGGTATTTGATGCTTTCAGCCAAGATTCATCTGACATCAGCAATGATAACCCTAGTGTCATGGCCTTTTCTAAATCTTGCTTGGACTTCTGGAAGTTCTCTATGTACTATTTTAGCCATTTTTGAATGATCTTAATTAAGCAACATTTGCATTTGATATTAAGGATAAAAAAAGTTCGATAAGATAAGAACTCCATAATTAATACATACCAAACTGATCAATGCTTCTTAAAAAGCCAATAAGTGTTCTCCCATCTCGAAGCAGGACCAAATGTTTTTCTACAAAGAGAAAAGAAGAGATCTTTAAAATGAGAACAGCTACCTTCATTGAGTTTACAGCAAGGGATAGAAATAAAATTAGTAGCTATTTCTCAGCCACAGCATCTCTTCTTCCAATGTCTATTGTTGTTGTTATGTGCCATTGTGTCACTTGTGACTCATAGTGACCCTATGTACAAGAGCCCTAAACACCGTTCCATCCTGTGCCAACCTCGCCGTCTCAAACACACTCATTCCCACCACTCCACTCACAGAATTTTGATCCATCTCATTGAGGGTCTTCCTCTCCTGCGCCGTCCCTCCACTCTCCCAAACATGATGTCCCTCTTCAAGGACCAGTCCCTCCTTGCAGTCTTCAATGTATGAACATGCCCAAAGTATGTCAGACGAAGCTTTAGAATCCTTTACTCCAAAGAGCACTCTGGCTTCACCCTCTCCAGGACAAACCTGTTTTTTCTCCTAGCAGTCCATGGTACATTCAACACTCTTCTTCAGCACCACAGCTCAAAGGCATCAATTCTCTATCATTCCTATTCACTGTGCAACTCTCTGATGCATAGCACATAATTGCAAAGACTATAGCCTGGATCAGGTGCACCTTAGTCTCCAGCCTGACGTCATTGCTCTTCAGTTCTCTTGAGAGGTCCCTCACAGCTGACTTTCCCAATGCAACTAATCTCCTGATTTCCTGGCTGCTGTTACAAGAGTGTTGACTGTGGAACCAAGTAAACTAAAACTGTTAAAACTATCTCAATCTCTTCACCATCCGTACTGATGCTGCCAGTTGGCCCAGTGGTGGGAATCTTTGTTTTCCTGATATTGAGCTTCAATCCATATTGACTGCAGTCCTTGACCTGCAGCAAGCGCTTCAGGTCCTCCTCAGTTTCAGCAAGCAGCGTGTGTCATCTGCATAATGCAGGTTATTCATGACTCTTCCACCAATCCCGATGCTACATTCCTCCTCGTACAGCCCAGCATCTCTGACGATCTGTTCTGCATACAGATTGAAAAGGTATGGAGAGAAAATACATCCCTGATGGACCGCCTTCTTGATTTTGAACCATCCAGTGTCTTCCTGTTCTGTTCTGACGACTGCCTCTTGGTCCAAGTATAGGTTTCTCATCAGCACAATCAAATGTTTTTGGGATTCCCATTCCTCTAATGTCTATTGTTGTTGTCACGTGCCGTTGAGTAGTAGATGACTCATAGCTACCCTATGAACAAAAGGCCTGAGCACTGTTCATACATAGTTTCTGGAGGCAAGCCATTTCGGAAGTGGATGCTGCTCCTGCTTCCAGGCTTGTTTTAGTCAGGAAGCTCCAGCAAACACTGTCCACCATGGGTAACCATTACCATGTTTGGCACATCAGTGTCACAGTGTTCAGCATCACAGTAAACACGAGTTACCTCTGCACAGCAATGCACAGACCAGTGCTATACCACCTATAAGAAAGAATGTTTGACAGGAGAACCATCTGAACCCAGCCCGAGGGCCGCAGATTAAAATCACCCACCCTTGGCTTGGTAGCATAACTTTCTGTCCACTAGGACAATGTAGCTCTCTCTATGTCGTCGTAATGTCTATTAGGTAGATGTAATTAAAAATATAGACGGAGGACTAGGGCAGACAGGAGTTAAATTGGAAAGTCAGTAGTGAGAACAATCAGCAAAATATAGTGTGAAAGACTGGGCTGGGAGCCAGGACACCTTACTTGGTTGGCTCTACAACTTGATAAATATGCTTTTTTTTTGATAAATATTCTTCATGTGAAGAGTCTTACATATTCTTTGTATGACTATTCTTAGATATTCTTCATGTCAGCTTTTAACATTTATAACTAAAATATTTAGATGATTTTTATGGTCTTAATTAGAGTAATAGTCCCTTAATTTAAAAGCACTTCTTTCTCTGAATTTGGAATCAGAAATATATGAAATAAAAATTATGCCTTAGGTATTAAACTGGAATAGAGATTAAACAATATTTATTGAGAATGATACACTTTTCTAGAGCTTAGATATATAACAGAAGGCAGTACTCAAAAAGTCATCAACCATACCAATTTTTTATTTCTGAAGATAAACAATTAACATCAAGAAAAATAACATGCGCATCATTGGAATCCCAGAAAAGGAAGAAGCAAGTAAAGGCACTGAAAAAGTTGTGGAAGAATTACTAGAGGAA